AGGGTGTGATTTGGCAGAAAGAAGTTTGCGAGTGAAAGGAATTTCATCACAGATGCGTGCCTTGAAACGACCCTGGCGGCCTGCCGACCTGCTTAGTGTGAGTGAGATAAAGGTGTTGCACAAGGAGACAGGTGCATAACTGGACATTTGCTTCACATGCTGTACAGCAGATCAAGGTGGAGCGATTTGATTTCAGTTTCTTCCATCTACATGGATCCTGAGAGCCAGTATCTGGAGGTTTCAACGCGATGCCACAAATCTGCCAGAGGGGCAGAGCAGAAGTCCAAGCTACTGCCAATCGCCTGTCCTTGCGTTGGAGTGGACGGTGGAAACTGGGCCCTGACTTACTTTGAAGTCAGGCATCTATGCAACTTGACACTGCCTTTGGATGGACCTGGCCCGATGATGTGTTGCCCGCTGAATGCTACAGCTTCCTTGTGGACAAAGAGGGCTATGACATCTGAAGAGGGCTCTGACTTCATACGGAAAGTGTTGGGTGCCCCAAAAACCGAAGAGAGGCGCATATCTTCTCACTGGCTCAAATCGACTTTGATGTCATGGACTGCGAAGTTTGGTTTGTCAGAGCATTCACGTGCAGTTTTGGCACGTCATGCATCAAAGGCACAGCCACAGCTGTCTACTCAAGGGATTTGCTGTCGCCGATCCTCAGGGAGTTGAACCTTGTCATCAAAGCAGCCCGGGCTGGGGCCTTTAGTCCTGACTCTACCAGGTCAGGCATGCTGACCCCGGGTGCGGTGCCCTACTTTGGAGGGACTCCTTTGCCGATGCAGGCGGAGGGAGCACCTGTGACTCCTGTGCCCGATGCGGTGCGCAAATCTCATGGCTCTGGTGGCTTGGAGCATCGGAGCCAGCAAGCTGGTGAGCAAGTGAGTGATCACTCAGAAGTTCAAGGCGAAGTTCCTGACCTGTTTGAGTTTGGTCGTTCAGATGGCCCGTCGCCGTCTTTGGCTGAAGTTGGAGCTGAAGCAGATGACTACAGCGAGACCGCTGAAGAGAACAGCGAGACCACTGAAGAGAACAGCATGCAGAGCTCTTCAGAGAGCGACCTGGAATGCAGCGGTGAGCCGCACAGGGGCGTGGTGGAATTTCCAACAGACTATGTGATCAACAACAAGTCCTTGGTGATCCACTATGTAAAGATGCCCGGCCTGCTGGGATGCGGGAGAAAGCTCACCCCTTCATACTCCAAGGTCTTTGAGCTCAACGGTATAAGGTGCTCTAGGTGTTTTGACGTATAGATCAGCTGAGCATGTCGCCTGGCCTGAGAAAAAGTGAATCTGAACCTCTGTCGTGGGCACGCACAGAGATGGGAATGATTTATCTCCTTTTGGTTTGTCAACTCATTTGATTTGTTCTGAAATTTTGTCTGATCATTTCATTTGCATCACATGGCTTGGAAGTCGTGTGAAAGACAAAGCTGTTGAAACAGCCTTTTGTGTTCCAGTCAGTGAGCATGTGTTTGACCCTGTTCCTCAACACGTCTTGAATCCACCCACTGTTTGGGGTCTACGGTGGTGTAATTCATTTTTTCAATATTTTCTATTGATTTTAACATATTTTAACACAGTTCAAAATCAACAGGATTTCTGCCTTTTGGTAATCCACAACACACCCGGTAGGATCAACAACTTAATCAATAAAGAATCAACAACATAATCAATATAAAAATAATGAACAACAATAAAATCAACCGATATCCACAGCTTGAACCACTTTATAGTATAGTGCCAATGTGGGCACTCCAGGCTTTATATTACAGCTTTCTACCTTGGGAAGGCGGACACACCATCCAACACAGGCACACGTGGGGAGACAATGCGAGACAATGGGCTCAATGGGGCAGAAGGGGTGAGAAGGGGAGACAAGGCCTTGGGTGGGGAGACAATGGCGGACAGAAGGGGTGAGAAGGGGAGACAAGGCCTTGGGAAGGCGGACACACCATCCAAGACAAGCACACATGTGGGGAGACAATGAGAGACAAGACGTCAGGAAGGCGGACGCACCATCCAACACAGACACACATGTGGGGAGACAATGCGAGACAATGGGCTCAATGGGGCAGAAGGGGTGAGAAGGGGAGACAAGGCCTTGGGAAGGCGGACACACCATCCAAGACAAGCACACATGTGGGGAGACAATGAGAGACAAGACGTCAGGAAGGCGGACGCACCATCCAACACAGACACACATGTGGGAAGACAATGCGAGACAATGGGCTCAATGGGGCAGAAGGGGTGAGAAGGGGAGACAAGGCCTTGGGAAGGCGGACACACCATCCAAGACAAGCACACATGTGGGGAGACAATGAGAGACAAGACGTCAGGAAGGCGGACGCACCATCCAACACAGACACACATGTGGGAAGACAATGGAAACCCTGGGAGACAAACCTGGGAGACAAGGGAGAGACAAGACACGGAGAACGCAAACACATCATCCAACACAGGCACACATGTCGGGACGAGACAACGGGGGAAAAGTGGAGACAAGGTACCGGGACGGCGGACACGCCAACCAACAAAAAGGAAACACGAAGGGAGACATTGGGTGGGAGACAAAGGGAGACAAGACCAAGGCGGACACCTTAAGACTGCGTTAAGAACCCCTAGAGCAGTACACTGTTTGGAGGACAAGAAAGGAGATAATGTGGAGACAAGGGGGACAAGATGCTCGGGAAGGCGAACACACCAGCCAACAAAGGGAAACAAGAAGGGGTACAGGCGGAGACAGAGGGAGACAAGACCCTCGGCAAAAGGAAACAAGAAGGGGCGCAATGCAAGAGAAGGGGAGACAAGACCCTCGGGAAGGCGGACGCACCATCCAACAAAGGGAAACAAGAAGGGGTACAATGGGAGACAACGGGAGACAAGACCGTCGGCAAGGACATGAGAAAGCATTAAGAACCCCTAACCGTACACTGTTTGGGAAAAATGCAAAATAAGACCACCCGCCACAAAGGGAAACAAGAAGAGAGACAAACTGGGAGACAATATAGGAGACAAGACCTCGGGAAGGCGGACACGCCAGCCAACACCAAGGCGGACACCTTAAGAAAGCCTACCCCCAACAGTACACTGTTTGAAAAAATGCAAAATCAGACCACCCACCACAAAGGGAAACAAGGAGAAAGACAAGTTGGGAGACAAACTGGGGGACAAGAAGAGGACAAGCTGGGAGACAAACTGGGAGACAAGGAAACAAAACCTCGGGAAGGCGGACAAAGCATCCAACACAGGGAAACAAGAAGGGAGATGGGAGACAAGGGGGGGACAAGACCTCGGGAAAGTGGACGCACCATCCAACACAGGTCACATGTGGGAGACAATGGGAGAGAAGCGGACACAAGACCTTGGGAAGGGGGACACACCATCCAACACGGGCACCAATGTGGGGAGACAATGGGAGACAATGGGGAGACAAGACCTCGGAAGGCGGTCCAGCACAGGCACACATGTGGGGAGACAATGGGAAACAATGGCACACAACCAGAGACAAGGGGAGACGGGGAGACAAGAAGGGAGACAATGGAAGACAATTGGGGGGACAATGACACGGGGAGACAAGACGTCAAGAAGGCGGACACACCATCCAACACAGGCACACATATCTAGGGAGGCAATGGGAGACAATGAAAAACAAGACTTCGGGAAGGTGGACCATCCAACACAGACACATGTGGGGAGGCAATGGGAAATAATTGGAGACAATGGGGGGGAATGGGAAACACGTGGAGACAACCGGAGACAAGGCTAGACAAGAAGGGAGACAAGGGGAGACAAGACCTCGGGAAGACGGACACACCATCCAACACAGGTGCACACATGCGGGGAGACAATGGGAGAGAATGGGGAACAATGGGGGAGCAGGGGTTCCAACAAGGGGAGACAAGAAGGGGTACAATGGGAGACACCCTCAGGAAGGCGGGCACACAATCCAACAAAGGGAAACAAGAAGGGGCACACTGGGATACAAGGGGAGCCCTCCGAAAGGTGGACGCACCATCCAACAAAGGGAAACAAAAGGGTAAAATGGGCAATGGGAGACAAAGGGAGACAAGACCCTCGGAAAGGCGGACAGACCATCCAACAAAGGGAAACAAGAAGCGGTAAAAGGGGAGTCAAGGGGAGACAAGGGGAGACAAGACCCTCAGGAAGCAGACACCATCCAACAAAGGGAAACAAGATGGGAGACAAGCGGAGAGAAGGGAAGACAAGGGGAGACAAGACTCTGGGGAAGGCAAACACACCATCCAACGGGGAGACAAGGGGACACAAGGGGACACAAGGGGACACAAAGGGGAGACAAGGGGGAGACAAGGGGACAGACCCTCGGGAAGGCGGACACGCCCCATCTAACAAAGGGAAACAAGGGAAGACAAGACCCTTGGGAAGGCGACCACTCAGGGAGACACATGAAGGGAGACAAGGCACAGACTTGAGAACCCCTAACAGTAAACTGTTTGGGGAATAAAAACTCTCAAAACAATATTTTCAGAATAGTATTGATATGTATTGATTACAATCAAATCCGATGCTCAGGGTTGCAAACGGTTGTGAACACAAAAGCAGCGAGCGAACGCGACTCAACCCCCAGACAAAGTAAAACGAGAACGCTTCGCTACGTCGCTACGCATTCGGGAAAATATGGAAAATCCACAAGAATAAATGCGCCGCGAGCGAAGACTTGCAAATGCAACATCTATGAAAACAGCTGTCAGCTTCAAGGGAAGGGCCCGGTGATAAATCATAGTTACACGAAACATGCAAAAGGAAAATGGAAACCAGCCATCAGCCAAAACAATTGTCTTTCTCAAGGCGCGTGAAGACACCACAAAACAATGCCAAATCTACCTCAATTGCCGCACATTGGCTGTAGCATCACATGTGTAGGTCATGAAATAATACCTTCAATGAAGCACATTGATTGTAGGTCGATACCGGAAGAAACGTGTTTGTGTGTGTGTGAAAGAATCAACACAATTTTTGCCATGCAAACCTTTGCCTTTCTCCCTGCGTGAATCCGCGCCCCTGTCAGCCATATGATTTTGGAAGCAACGCTGGTTCCGCTTGTCTACTCAGACTTTCTTGAAACAACCTTGTTGCCATGGCTAGAGATAAATGATGGGATCAGCCATTGCACAGCCGAAACTATTTGACATGATGCAGAGACGCAGGCAGCGTCGTGCGGACCCAGATTCACCAATAGCCTGGTCACAACAGGAAAGACGAAGTCTTCCCACCAGGGGATGTCCATCCTGACCCAATAGCAGCCTCCAGTCACGATCCACAAGTGCTTCTCTGCAGGGAACTCTGAGGTGCTCATTGATGACCATGAAAACATCATTCCAAGTCGAGCGCTCTCGCTTCGACCAAAGTAGTCTAAAGCCCCATGATCTCCTTGATTCTTCACGTTCCAAGTCAATCTTGCAGGGCCAATCATGCCCGACGTAGCGTCAGAAATCAACGAACCAATCATCCTCCTTGCTGCCGAAACACTGCCGCACATAGTCTTCATGGTGTGGCTTCCCCAATCACTGCGCCAATTCCAAAGCACTTTAAGGATGATGGAAGGACTGATCGATAGCTCCTGGCTAAGGAGGAGCTGTTGAAAAAATATTCCAGCATCAGCGCCTCTATCTTCACAGTGAGAGGCGATGACGTAAAACACTTCCCTGCGAGACCTAATTCTTGCAACGGCGGCCTGCAGACTTGAGACCTCCTGAGGCGTCGTCATGACCACATCAACGCTACTTCTACCCTGTGATTCTAGCACATTCAGAATACATGGCCAAAGCAATTCAAATTCCGTAGTTGGATTTTGGAGCTGAACGAAAATACCAATGCGCTTTTTGGAAGTTCCCCTTGGAGAGAGTAGCAAGTTGTTCAGCCGGTCCACCAGGTGTGATACTCGAGTTGTTACAGCAGAACCCACGAATCCGGGAAGAACTGCTTGTCTGCCTGCCTCACCAACTTGATACAGCACCCCAGCGGGCTTGTTGATGATTTTATTCAACTTGCCTTCAAGCGTTGCTTGCTTCACAGTCTTCATAATAAAACAGTCATGGGAATTTCGAAAAGCCAGCTCAGACGAAATGGTCAGCACAGGAACAGCAAAGGATCTGGCATGAATCGCCTCAAATGCAAAGTCTGGCAAAGACAGGCTGATATGCAAATCGGCTACAGCTATGTATCGCAGAAGCTCCCTCCAATCCGAGATCCGTATAATGTTTGTAGACAGCGTTGATCCCTGTTGCATCTCCTGCACTGGCTCGTCCCCGTACAGCACTATCAGCCAGTCATGCCCAAATCTAGTTTTCATTATTTCAACCAGCGTTGGTGATGAGAGATCGACCTCCCTTTTGCTGCTCCAAGGCCTGGCTACAATCGTGACCAAAAACCCATCCAACGAGATCCTATGAGCAGATCTGATTTCATCGCGATCTTTTGATACTTGGGTGGAAAATCTTGACGAAGTCTCGGCAGTGCGCAGAAATGGCCGGAACGTCAGGTATTTCCCACTGTCTTTAGCCCACTCCTGGCGAGCCGCATCGGAGGTGAAAAAGACGGCATCAAAATTTGCCATTGCCAAGCTGATTTGCCGCACATCCTGGACGTCGTCTTTCTCTCGGCCTCTGGAGTCTACAGGCGGGTAGTAATACCACACCAAACGAGACCGAGATCGTCGCAGTCCATCATGAGGCAAGCGCAAACCAACCTTCTCCCATAGCGTCGAGAAACACAAAATGATATGCGGGTCGTTTCCATTGAAAGATGCAGAAGCAATTTTCCAAACATCTGAAATTATATTTTCTCTCTCCAGCACCTCTGCAAGAGCTGGGTTCACCTTCACTCTGAATTTGGTTTCGGCCTGCCGGTGTCCACGGTAAACACTTTGACCGCGAAGTTCTCGGAGTTCTCCACTGGCGGCGCTCTCCACGACGACCACATGTCCCAAAGCAACAAGTTCTGCAGCCAGGTCCAAGGCAAAGAGATTGTCGGGAGTCGCCGCAAGGTCTACCAACCAAAACAAAAAAAACAGACGCAAGCCTGAGCCGTGCCTTGGCCGAGCGACATTTACGACACTGGCGATGTCTGCCCCGGCATTGGCGATATCATGGGGTACCTCATTTGGTTCTGGGTCATTTTTTTGTCTCCTCAAAGGTGCCGTGGTGCTCCAGATAGCAAAACACCCCAAACAAAACAGAACCAGCATGTGCAGCACGTAGCGGCGCAAAAAAAACATGGCATTCGCGCTGACAAGGTGAAACTTGCACGTGCTGTGATTCAGGGCATGGATTGGTGCTCTCAGGCGCTCAGTTTATCCTCTGAAAGTATGTTGCGTTTCTTCAGTCATTGGAGTGTTTGAATGTTGTGCGTATGTAGTCTGTGGGAAATGGATCTAATCCGGTTCCCCTGGTTGCCCTGCATTCGCGGTTGTGTAATTAAAATTTTGTTCGTGTGAAGTAGTTGTTTCATTGAAGACATGTGTTGTAAAGTTTCTACGCCTAGAGGTCGCCTGCCTAGGATGAGCTAGAGGTGTGACGCCATCCTCACCCGCACTGCGCGTTTTCGCGCCTGTTGGAGCAGTTTGGCTTGCCGGGGACTGCACCATCTTCAACAGACAGTTCCGCAAGAAACCAACTGTTCGCAGCACACCTTCGCAAGATAAAATAAGATAAGATCAGATAAGATAAGATCAGATAAGATAAAATTAAATTAGATTAGATAAATATAGATAGATAGATAGACAGATAGATAGATAGATCGATCGATAGATAGATCGATAGATAAATATAGATAGATCGATAGATAAATATAGATAGATCGATAGATAAATATAGGTAATATAGGTTAATATAGACTACTCTCTAGGGAACAAACGTATCCACTTTTTTTGTGGAAAAAAAGTTTTTTTGGATACGTTAGCTGCTGTGAACATAGGCTATGATAAATACCCTATACTTGAGACATGTTAGTTGAAAATCCAGAATGGACATGTTAGTGGAAAAGTTGTCCCCCCCTCTGGGGGTTCCCGGGAAACTGCCAGAAGACTACCGCCCCGGACGCCCCAGCATCCTTATTTCCAGACCCCAATAGGGCTCAAATCAAAGACCGCATTGATAACAAAACGGTGGAGAAAAAAGGGGCCCCAACTCCTTCCGGAAGAGCGCATCATAGATGATGCTCGTGGGTGGACAGGAAGATTCCGGGTGCATTCCAAAAACCAGTTGCATTTAGTAAGGGTTGGATGACTGGCCACGGAAAGCGCCCACCTAACGTGTCCGTGTTGTTCAGAGGATGTGGTTTTGAGATATGTGAGTGGTTATTGGCTGAATCTATCCCCCCAAAATAGCGAACATATCCCAGATCAGGGTCGAAATCCAAGGGCCCCAATTGCAGGAACTGAGACATGTTAGCTGTTAGCTGTTTTTGGGTCAATGGTCCCCAAAAAAGTTGCAATGCATTCCCCAGGAAATCCAGGAAAACGCCGGTACCGAGTGGACATGTTAGTTGATACCTGAAACGGTAGCCCGAGACACGTATCCACTGTTTTTTGTGGTTTTTTCTTTGGATACTTTAGCTGCTGTGAGCATAGGCTTTAAGTGCCCTATACTTGAGACATGTTAGCTGAAAATGCAGAATGGACACCGGACACGTTAGTGGAAAAGTTGTCCCCCCCCTCTTGCACGGTTTTTACTGGTTAGGGTACTAGGTGGTAGGCCAATTTGGCTTTGATAGGCAGTATATGGTGATTTCAATGCTGAATTTGGCCATTTGTGGTGAATGTACATTTCCTGACCTTGCTATGTGTGTTGGACTTGGCAGCAACTGTGGCGCAACTGTGGAGCAATTACCTGATCCATCGATAAACACTCCTCAAAAGAAAAATTACCTGCAGTTGTCGTAGTTTACGTATACTGGGGGCAATATATACCCCGGCGCATATTGCTCTACCCAGTATATACCGGGTATATACCTATCACATATTGATCACCTATGTTTAGCAGCAATATATATACCAGGTATGTGCCTGGTATATATTGCTCAGGACAGTATACGCCGGGGTCTATATTGCTCCCCGGTACCAGGAGCAATATGTGGGGGCAAGGCGGCGGTTTTTTATGGTGTTTGTGTTTGGAGGAGGCTGTTTTTTTGGCATTCTTTTAAATTTCTTCCCGGTTTTGCGGTTCGGATAAAAATGTGCTCCTGTTTTTGAGTTCTTGAGGGAGCTTGTGGAAATCAGCAAAAAGTAGTTACGGGCAAACCTCTGTATATATGGCCGGTATATGCTCAACCCAAACTGAGGGGTATATACCAGGCATATACCAGGTATATATTGCCACCCCCCCTAGGTATATAAGCCCTACCACCTGGGGCAGGAACCAGAAAAATTCCTTGACCTCTGGGGGTTCCCGGGAAATTGCCAGAAGACTACCGCCCCGGACGCCCCAGCATCCTTATTTCCAGACCCCAATAGGGCTCAAATCAAAGACTGCATTGATAACAAAACGGTGGAGAAAAAAAGGGCCCCAACTCCTTCCGGAAGAGCGCATCATAGATGATGCTCGTGGGTGGACAGGAAGATTGGGGGTGCATTCCAAAAACCAGTTGCATTTAGTAAGGGTTGGATGACTAGCCACGGAAAGCGCCCACCTAACGTGTCCGTGTTGTTCAGAGGATGTGGTTTTGAGATATGTGAGTGGTTATTGGCTGAATCTATCCCCCAAAAATAGCTAACATATCCCAGATCAGGGTCGAAATCCAAGGGCCCCAATTGCAGGAACTGAGACATGTTAGCTGTTTTTGGGTCAATGTGTAAAAACAAAGTTGCAACGCATTCCCCAGGAAAACGCCGATATAAAGTGGACATGTTAGTTGATACCTGAAACGGTAGCCTGAGACACGTTTGTTCCCGGGAGTGTAGATTAGATTCGATTAGATTCGATTCGATTCGCTTCGCTTCGCTTAGCTTAGCTTAGCTTAGCTTAGATTAGATTAGATTAGATTTAGATAGATAGATGGACAGATAGATAGATAGATAGATTGATAGATAGATTGATAGATATAGATAGATAAATAAATAGATAGATAGATAGATAGATAGATATCTCCGTTGGGCGTTCAACTTAGGGTGCAGCCCCAAGTTTTCAGCCCAAAACCACATTTAAAAACCTGGAGGGCTAAGGTGTAAGCAAAAAAAAATGACTCGATGAAAAACTGACCTGACCCAGATTAAACCCCGTGTTTCTGGGGTATGTTGAAAATCAAAAACAATGGCACAAGAGATGAAAACAGCAGTGCTCAGCATGTGATTTAAAAAACTTAAACTATAAAACGAGTACTTGCCCGGGAAACATTCAATCACAGCCTTTTCTTCCCACCCAGTTTCCGCTCCCACATCGTATCAATGCCTTGTTGGCATCGCAAAAGTCAAAGCTTTCAGCGTTGGCATATCAAAAAAAATGAGGTAACAGCTCTCCATGTTACACCACGCATGTGTGCCAACCCATCCTGAACCGAAACCCCAAAGATACACCACTAAATTTCACATCCTTAGGCCTTAGACTTTCATCTCACTCGTCCCTCTTTTCAACTTTGCCGGAGCAGCTCTCCATGTTACACCACGCATTTGTGCCAACCCATCCTGAACCAACGTCCCAAGATACACCACAAACGACTACTGACTCAATTTTGCAAACCCCTCCCCATCCAACCTCCCAAGATACACCTCTCAAAATTTCAATTTTCACCTTATAGGCGGCAATTAAAGGACCGGATAACCCCACATGTCAACTTCTCCCAATAATGAGCAACAAATGTTGCAGCGGGACAGGGAAGGAAGGAAAGACACAGGAGGTGGTGAAGGATCGAGTAGTGAAAAAAGTTGTGTGGGACAAAGTTGTATGTGAAAGATGTTGTGTGACAAAGAAAGATGGTGCGTGACAAAGATGGTATGTATGTATGTATGTATGCATACATGCATGTATGTATGTATGTATGTATGTGTATGTATGTACGTACGTACGTACGTACGTACATACATACACACATACATACATACGTACGTACGTAGGTACGTATGTAAGTATGTATGTAGCCAAAACCGGCATGCCAACACCAGGAGTATAGGTGAATGGCAGTGGCCGGTCTTGGCAGCATGTGCAATGTGGCCAAGCAGTGCGCGCAGACCGTCATGAGAGCCGACGATAGCCGTGGATTGACACGCCGTGTGAAAATCGTAGACGCACAAGCGCGCCACCAGAGCCAGCCCAGTGCCGTAAGTGCCACGCCTGCCATGCAGAATGCACGTCGATGTCGCCAAGTGCCACGCCTGCCACGCCAAATGAGCGTCGATGTCGCCGAGTGCCACGCAAACAGCCGCGGCAACCACGGCGTCCACTGGGAACCAAGCGCGCCACCAGAGCCAGCCCAGTGCCGTAAGTGCCACGCCTGCCACGTAGAATGCACGTCGATGCCGCCAAGGGCCACGCCTGCCACGCCAAGTGGAGGTCAATGTCGCCGAGTGCCACGCCTGCCACGCAAACAGTCGCAGCGACAACGGCGTCCACTGGGAACCAAGCGCGCCACTTCAGTCTTCAACCACGTGTTGAATCCAATCAGTTCCTCTTCAGGATCATTCTCACCGAACTCGTACTCAGCACCGAACTCGTCACCTACCTCACTGATGATGAAGGCTGCATATTCATTGAACCTGGGATGCGCTTTCGCTGCAGCCACTGCTGTCTCCAGTGCTTTCCCCAATTTCTCGTTGTCACAAGCGTCGTCTTTGGGAAGCTTTGTGGAAGGCTCCTTGGAATTGTCTTTGGAAAGCTCCTCTGGTTCTTTGGCAGGCTCTGTTGGAAGCTCCTTGGTAAACTCTTTGGAAAGCTCCTCTGGTTCTTTGGCAGGCTCTGTTGGAAGCTCCTTGGTAAGCTCTTTGGAAAGCTCCTCTGGTTCTTTGGCAGGCTCTGTTGGAAGCTCCTTGGTAAGCTCGTTGGAAAGCTTCTCTGGTTCTTTGGGAGGCTCGGAGGGAAGCTCCTTGGAAGGTTCTTTGGGAGGCTCGGAGGGGAGCTCCTCGGAAGGTTCTTTGGGAGGCTCTGAGTGAGTTGCATCTGTAGTAAGCTCAACTGTATCAGAAACCTCCTGAGTCATGTCGACCTCAATGTCCATGTTATCCATGATTTCCTCAAGCGCTTGCTTGAGTTCATCTTTCGTGTCTTCTTTGGAATGGTCATCCATCTCGATCTCTGGTGTACTTTTTTTTGGCAGAGAAGAG